AATGGGCTTCCGATGGCTGGCCTCCACTCAGTGACACCCAATGCAGACAAAGGCCCCCCGTGTAGCTTTAACAGACTGTTGGGACAAGTGCTGTTAGCGAGTAGCACCTATGGAGGACGGCACAGCACACGAAGGGGTGGGTGACCAGCAGCACGCCCGGCCGCCTTTGTCTCCCTAGTGGTGATTTTTAATGACAACCACTGCAGGCTGAGCAGCATCACCCCCTTTGTTTAAAGGACCCCACCACCGTACAGGCACCGTGCTCACAGCCTGGGGCGGAGCCAGGATTTCAGGCCGGGGTGACATTCAACAAATGTTAATTTCAAGAATGATTAGAGAGTCAGGCTGTTGAACTAGACGCCATCGGTTGGCGACACACTCTGACAATGCAGACCGAGTGTCGTACACTTATACGCAGAATGTCACCCCTGTCACCACCCCCCCCCCCTGGCTCCGTCCCTGCTTAGTTGAAGTCCCAGGTGTCTTTAATGCGCAAGGTCTTTCAAATCCGCGAACAATCGCGGCAAAGGACGCGTCATTCGTATTTCCCAATCTTCTGACGTCCTTGGGTGCATCTGCAACTGCAGTGAAACGGCTTTCATTGCAAATGGGCCGAGACCCGCGTCGCTGTGCTCGAGCTGGGGCAAGGCTTTCGCTGATGACGGCAGTCCGCGTGGGAAACGATTTCGAATTTTTTTTTTTTAGCGGGGGTGGAGGGGCAGCGATGTCGCCACGTGGCTCGCCAAGGTGAACTGTGGGGGGCGGGGGGGGGCACCCCGCTGGTCGTGACGCTAGGGGGGGTCGGCTGCAGGCTTGGTCTTTATCTCTATGGGTCTCTATGATTCTCTATGGATCTCTGTGGGTCTCTATGATTCTCTATGGATCTCTGTGGGTCTCTGTGATACTCCATGTGTCTCTGATTCTCGATGTGTCTCTATGGGTCTCTATGATTATCCCACGCTTCTGCAATCGTGTGTTTTGTGTTTTGTTTACATTTTCAGCGACGGGCATTTGTGCTCCGCTGTAGTCGTATAGGTCGGGTGGAGATGTTCACGCGCTTCAAGTGTTTGGTTTCGCTTTGTCCTTCCCCCGCACCTCCGATCGGCAAACGGTCGGCTCACGTGCGGTGCGAAAGAAGTTCAACGTGCGTGCAACACACACACACAGACACACAAGACACACACAGACACAAATACAAGGATAAAGATCCCCCGTATAGCCTTAACAGACTGTAGGGGCAAGTGCTGTTAGCGAGCACCTATGAAGGCCGGATCGGTACACGAGGGGGTGGGTGGCCAGCACCACGCCCGACCGCCTTTGTCTCCCTAGTGGCAATGTTTACACACCACACCAGGTACTCATTTGAGGCTGAGTCGACCTAGGGGAGGCCCGGGACCGGTTCAGATAATCGTCACTGGTGTTGGCCGTGAGCAAGAATCTAACTCGAGTCGCCGGGTTCATAGCGCAGCGCGCTAACCGCTACACTATAGCTCCCCACAACACACACAGACACACAGACAGACACACAGACACACACACAGACACACACACAGATAGACAGACACACACACAGACACACACACAGACACACATACAGACAGACACACACACACAGACACACACAGACAGATACAGACAGACACACACACAGACAGACACACACACAGACAGACACACACACACAGACAGGCACACACACACAGACAGACACACACACAGACAGACACACACACAGACAGCCACGCACACACAGACACACACACAGGCACGCCGCTCTTGAGCCCGCAAGTCGGCGTCTCGTCCTTCGCTCATTGGGACGCACCGCACGCCAGCCGGCCACGCGACAATTCGTTCATGAATTTGGCGGACTTCGGGGGACGGTGACGTCGTGTAGCCACCGTGCAGTCAATGAGGATAAAGAGACCGCTACCAAAGCATAATAATAATGATTGTTGAACTTAAATTATTGTTATTTAATAAACATCTCCATTCGAGACACAAACGTCATCGCAGCTCCACCTGGCTGTGAAAAAGAGCTTTAAATCGGATTCCTCCTCCAGTGTAAATAAATATCCTGACTCTGACATCCCTCCTGCTCAAAGACGCCGGCGGTGGTGTGGTCATCAGCCGCTTCATCGGATCATCGTCAACAGCAACTCCATGCGCACATCGCGTTCACGAATGGGGAATTAAATACAAGCGCAGGATTGCGATATCTCGTATCGTGCGATATGTAGTACCGTGCGATATGTAGTATCGTGCGATATGTAGTACCGTGCGATATGTAGTACCGTGCGATATGTAGTACAGTGCGATATGTAGTACCGTGCGATATGTATCGTGCAATATCTAGTATCGTGTGATATGTAGTATCGTGTGATATGTAGTATCGTGTGATATGTAGTATCGGTGCGATATGTCGTATTGGAGTGCCGTCTACTTATCGCTTCAGCCCACAATTGCGGCGTCTGCACGGAAAGCCGCATTTGTGTGGGGGCAGCGCCCCCCAGCGGCGTCGGGAGGGGGCAGCGCCTCCAGTGGCGGGGGGGGGGGGATCAGTGGCGTGGTGGGGGGCAGAGCCCCCCAGTGACGTGGAGGTGGGGGCTCTTGCATCGCAGACAAGTCGCCTCCTTCCCACATTCGTCTCTCCACATCATGATACAAGTGTGTTTTTTTTTAAACACAAGTTTAATTGTAAACTTAAAACTAAACAATTTTGTATTTTAACGGGTAAGGCCCAATGAGTTACGTAGCGCTTATTCGGAAGCCACTTGGCCACAAACGATAGCTCAACGAAGCGGCTTTACCACGTGGGAAATGTACAGCAGCCAAACACTCAAAAACGCGTGGTGATGTTGATTCTTCATGTGGAGGGGGAAATCGGGAGGACGCGGACGAAAATCCACGCGACCACGTGGAGAGAGACACCGCAAACTTCAAATACACACGCGTCAGGGTCGGCGTCGAACCGGGTAAGGCCCATGAGTGACAACACTGTGTGTGGCCTGAATCGGAGAAACGTTTCAGGGAATGGCCCTTCCTCACAGTACGAGGGCCATTGCCGATATATATTTTTTTACCTCTTAAGGCCACAAGGCATCACTGCCACCACTGTAGCAGGAGCGTCACCATCCGCCTACAAGAGTGCAGGACAACGTGGCGGGAACGCTGTTGGGCTGTCAGCTCACGCCGACTCGGGGCACCGGGGAAGCATCTCTGTTGGAAGTACAACGGAGGAACGTTCCGAGAGAAACGCCTAGTGGGAGATTAACACTGGGAGTGGTTGGTGCGTACGTACGTTGAACTTCTTTCGCACCGTACGTAGCCAACCGTGCTAATCGGAGGTGCTAGGGGGAGGACAAGATTCAGTGTACGTGCGGTTGAAGAGGTAAGGCCCGTACATAAATGACGTCACGCGATTTTGGACGAATTTTGACCCCCCCTCCCTTCGTCACACGGCGTCACAAAAAGTCAGACCCCCCCTCAAATATGACGTCACAACGCTCTGCCCCCCCCCCCCCCCCCAAAATTAAACATGCTTCAAATCGCTTTAAACTATTGTCATTGTAGTGCGTATTTAATGTGGCGCTGCACTCTGATGTTGTAGGAGAAAACATTTATTTAAAAGTCTAATTAAGTAGAACGTGTTGTCTATATTTATTTAAAGTTGCGCATTTTGATGTGACGTCACATTTCTAAAACACCCCCCCCCCTCGTCACACATCGTCACAAATGTCTGACCCCCCCCCCCCCCCCCCCAGGTGCGTTACGTCATTTATGGACGGCCCCTATGGACTAACCGACTGGGCTGGGATGCAAACCCTAACAGCACCGCCTCGAGGCGAGCAATGCCACGTGCTCCATGACCAGGTCACCCAGAAATGCGCCCCAGCGTCAGAAACTCAGGTGGGAGTCGAGCCTGGATAGTGCTACCATCTTGGCGACCACAAGGCACAACAGGCGTCATAGGCTGTGGAGAAACAAGGTGGTCAGTAGGGGACATTGCATTAAAATCTATTGCACTTTACCTCGACACGTCCGTCATACTGGGTCGCCAGCCCACACTGACCATCCGTGTGGTGGATGCTCCGCTCCCACCCCAGAACCCGTATGGCATGGGGAGGCCCACATCTAGCTGTGAATGACGAAAGGGCTGCACGTGCAGTGCGATATAGGCAATACCCAGATTTACGTCGTCACTTTGTTCACACCGTTACCCGATTTGCGTCGCCTCCACCCCACGCCGACGTCGCCGACAGCATCATCGTCCGCCCTTCCTCACCCTCCATTACCACCACCCACTGCCTCCACCCTGTAAATCGCTTCGATTTACGTCGTTTCGATATTCGTCGTTGCACCTTTGAGAAACGCATCCCCGGACGTAAACCGGGGGTATTCGTGTACATCCTTTAATGTTAGGTGATATTGGCATCAGACTTGAGTAGTATTCACACCGAAGAGGGAGGACTGACCAATGCATCGATCACACCGGCCAGGTGAAGGTTTTGGACAAATACCGGTACAGGCCGAGTCGTGACGCGATTGGGAACTCTAGGGGGGTGGAGTAGTGGCGCAGCGATTAGCGCACTGCAAAACAAGCCCAGCGACCTTCACAAGAGTCCCTACCACGGCTAACATCAGTGACCAGCGATAACTGAACCGATCCCAACCTTGCTCCTACCAACGATTATCGTAATTCGAATTAGCGCTCGCAAGTTTTTGTGGGATACAGAAGGATTAGTCCGAAAGCGTGAAACCACGATGTTTCCACGCTCGCCCATTAGAGGGCTCGCTGCGTCGGCTGGTGCTCGAGAGCATACACAATGAGAGGCACGATCCCCCACGGGCACCCCAAGGGCCTGCAAGATGCCCCACGGGCCCCAGAGAGCCCGGACTTTGAGAAAAGCCACATTACACCAGCGCCACCAATTAGCACGGTTGGCTATGAACGGTGCGAACGACGTTCAACATACATACACTCACGCAGGACCACACCCGGGTGACATTTCTACACATCTCCTTTTTAATGCGAAAAAGAGACGAACCAAATCCCACAATAATAAAGCAGAGGCTAAGTGCGGAGGCATTAAGCTTTGCACACACGGGTTTGAGCGTATGAGTCGGGAGGGCAGGGGGGGGGGGGATGGAGAGGGGCAGGAGGTGGGCGCGCCGAGTCATGTGTAATCCAACGAGATCTCGCCCGAACACACAAGCCACTTAAGCGGGATGTACACGTACGTATATATAGTATTTATATAACCACGCAAGCTCTGTGCCGCTAATTTATAAGCGCACAGCAGCAGCCATCGGCCGTACAAGTCTCCAGTCTAAATAAAGATTTCGATTTTGAGTGCCAGCGATCCGTGAAATAAATTTTTTAAAAAATGCACGCGAAGCCAGTAAACTGGGACGGTAGTTTAACAGAGGCAGGGAGATGTGGGGAGAAAAATTTAGAGAGCGAGCACACGAGAGAAGACAAAGACCGGAGGATGGAGGCACGGAGACGCGAGTAAAACATTGGAAAACGGAAGGACGATCTACACAGGGGACGATACGGGACAGATGAGCGGGGTAAGTGGGTGAGCGAGCGGTGCAGGGTGAGGGGCAGAGGGCTGTGTGGGTGGGCATCATCCGCTCACAACTGCGTTTGTCAACAGCAGCGAACGACATCTCTCCATTGTGCACAAGAGAATGATTTCACGCTGGGTACACAAAAAGGGTCGACTTTACAAGACGTGTCTAGAGACAGAAACGTCTCAAGAGCTGCCGAGTAAATTCTAATTTGGAAGTCAAGATTCCCAGTACATGACCCCCAACCCCCAAGGGTCTTGCAATGGAGGGGTCATAACCCCAGTGAGGAGATGTTAACACGAAAACCCATGCCCTCAACCCATTGCATCACTGCTGTTGTCACGTGCAATGGAAAGCGGTAGATAATGCACAGCTGATGATAATGTATTTTTTTGTACAAGTTAGATATGGCCGCTTGATGGATGTTAGCGTTTGGTTCGTGCCACTTTCACTGCACAGTGCATCAATGTGGGGGCCGTCAACTTGAGCAAGAGAGCATTGTGGGTAAAATGGCACAGGACCATGTCGACATTTGGGTCAAGTTTGAACTTTTCCACCACCGCCGCCACCACCACCACCACCACAACAATCATCAAAACCACCATCACCACAACCACTATAACCAACACAACGATCACCACCACCACCATGAGCCAACCACTCAAAATGCCCGCAAAAACCCGAACCTTCTCAGCGCCACAACCAATCAAGGGGACTTTGTGTGTTTTTTAAATGTCATAAATTTCAAGCTTCATTTCTTAATGTGTTCCAATCCACACATTGGTTCTGCGCACGTGCAGTCGCAAAGTCCCGCGGGAGAGCAGGGGGGAGGAGGAAAGGAGATGGTGCGAGAGGGGGAGAGGTGAGCATCAAACCGCGCAGCCTCGCCGAAAAGACGGCGCCAACACGGGAGGGGCGTGGTGGAGATGCAGGCTGAGCTCAGCCGCTTGGCAGCAGGAAACGGTGGGTGCTGTGAGGTTTGAATTATGGCCGGCGGGTTAGGGTTAAGCCGTGGACGAGGCGAGGGAGCAATGGGAGGGTTGGGTTGGGTTTGGGGAGGGGGTGTGGAAGAAGATGAGAAGAGCGGGGGAGGTGGAGAGGAGATTGAGAAGGGGAGGAGGATGAAGAGTGGAGCAGGAGGGTCAGTGGGTTAGGGGAGGGGATGGTAGGAGGGGTGGCGAGAGGGCAGTAGAACTTGTGTTCGTGAGGTGCTAGTCGGACGGTCGCTTCTCGCTGTATTTCTTGGTAAATTCTTCAGCGTTCTTGAGGAACTTTTTTCTGTCCTTGGTGTATTCCTCCGCCACGTCGGCACGCAGGGGGTGCTCTGGCTCCGGGTCGTTCACGAGCGCGACAAGGGCGTTGATCACTGCGCCATACGACAAGAGCACCCACGGTTAAAACTCTCAAGCACCACAGTAACAACGCAGTACAACAGTAACATTCTTCTTCAGAATTTGTGTTTAAAATACGTTCATTATACCACCCCGTTCGTCTAGTGAGACACGGCGACTGGCACACACGAGAATGCAGGAGAGGGAACGGCAAGAAAGGAGAGGGAACGGCAAGGCAAGAGAGGGCATTGCAAGGCAGGAGAGGCCATGACAAGGCAGGAGAGGTCAAGGCAGGATGAGCTGGGTGAAGAGGGTGAGGCATGGCGCTGACCTTGGTCAGTCTTGGTGGCCGGTTTCCAGTTTTCGGCATTGATGATGGGCAGGCAGACCTGCCCCTTCTCGTCGATGTTGGGGTGGTATATCTTGGTCTTGAAAGTGATCTTGGGCGGCTTGAAGGGGTACTCTGCCGGGAAGTTGATCTCAATCCTGAACGCGCCCTTGTCGTACGGCGCGTTGTCCTGGTTCAAAGTAAAAAACAAAGAAATCGGAAGCACGTTTCTGTGAATCAACGCAAATTACAGAGCAGAGGGGCTCTTGCTGAAGCAATACGACTACACTGCGGACATAACTACACAATCCACTGCTTGCACAAGGGCTTCCCAGCAGCGGCCCCCTCTGTAAGATAATAGACCTGCTTTTCCAAGATGCATAGCTAAACACACATCAATAATGAGGGTGTGTCACTCGGAGATGATGTTGTATTTGCTTGTACTGTATGCTGAACTTCTTTCGCACCGTACGAAGCCAAAAGTGCTATTTGGAGGTGCGAAATTTTCAGTATAATATATTAGCATCGATATGACAAACCGGATAACATCTCCGTGGTCGCCCTCGACTGGAACCCAGCCGTCCCAGCAGCCCACACTTGACGCCTGCTGTATAGTTAGAGTTGGCGCGTCTCTCTCCCCAACATCACGCATTTAGAGTATTCAGAATATTTGTTATTAAAAGCGTGATGATCAACGTTTTTCTCAATGTGCTGGGAGCTTCTTCAGCAACTGAATTTGTTCCCAAAAGTTCCGAGCATGCGGAGCGAAACATCGGACATCGTGCCCCAACGACACGTGGTAGCAGATGTGCAGTGCGACAGAAAAATCCTACACGGGGTGACCCCCCCATATGAGTTGTCAGGATGATTTAATGTTGACCGAGCTCGCCAGATTCCTGAAACCGCCCTGCTACATGTGGGCGTAGGGCGGTGGTGGTGGCACCGCCACAAGCATCGATGGGTTATTCATTTATCTGCAAATGGAGAATGGTCGACAGTGGCTAATTACAGGGAGGTAACGGTGAGACAATGTACCGGCACGATGAGGCCATGCCACAGCAGAATGTTGGAATCCTCCGCCAAGATGTTCCGGAAGTTCTTCATCCCGGAAGTACGAATGTCCGTCAACTCCTGCAAAGACAAACACACCTGGTTTGACACCGTTTAGCCCCGTAACTTCAGTTAATCCACATCGTGAATTCATCACAATCAGAATATTTATTCATCCTGAAGAAATCCAATGAGCTATGAAGCTCTTTTTCACAAATGTCCAGTAGGAATGGGTCAGAAAGTTACACCAAACAATACAAAAAAACGACCGGAGTGCAGGGTATAGGAACGGTAAGCAACTCACTAAAAATAAATAACTGTAAACTATTTTTATTTGAAGCTTTCGTGACTGCAGGAATGACTCTTTGGTTCTTTCGGTAAATTCACGAAGAAAATAAATGAAATAATAGAATTCGACGTTTCGATTGCAACATCTGGTAGAACTAAATTTGAGAGAAAGACAAAACACAGACACGGAGACACACAAGCAGAGAGACGCACAACGGAGACACAGAGAGAGACACGCAACATAGACAGAGACCCAATGCCCCTGTGTCGAGGTCTTAAATAGAGAGGGGAGGGGGTGGGGCAGAAAGAGAGGTGGGTCTGCTGGAGCATAGAAATTAGCATGTCAATGAAAGACCCAACAAGACTGGCACATTTTAGAGAGTTGTGTGGAAATCCACCCCGGAGCGACCGAGGGAGAGAAAGAGCGAATGGACCTATGAGAGAGAGAAATAGGCAGTTTGAGAAAAAATGTAGGAATTTTTTGGGAAATGTAATGCAACACAGAGTCGGCTAACACACAGTTAACGCATAGCCTGGTTGATTACGATCTCCAAAGATTGCTACATTTGAAGTTGTGTGAAATTTGATAGAGACACACAGAGAAAACAAACTTACACATCCTCAGACACACAGACAAAGAGAAAACAAACTTACATCCTCCCCGGAGAGGTGGTTCAAACTTGATTTGTAAAACCCACTGAGCAAAATAGTTATTGTTCAGAAGTGGCCTGGATACAAATGATATCTCAACGAAGCGGCTTATTACGTGGAAAGATGTAGTAGCAGCCAAATTACTCTAAAACGCATGCCATGTAACACGTGGTCACACGAGGCCTACCGCTCTGAAATAGCCCATAAACGATATTTACAATTCAATGTAAACATCTCGGGCTGCACTACAGTAACACCTCAGCTCGCTGGACATCGGCAGCTGGATATCAGCTCGCCAGATTGCATATTTAGCTGGACAAATCCAGGCTAAACGATAACATTATTATTATGTGTAGCCCTCAGTGCAACCTAGAGCACATGCCTTTGCAGTGCACGCATACGCTCAGTGAGTGGCGTGCCGCGTGTCGTTTCTCATCGGCCTGTCCCACTAATTGGCTGAAAACATCTCAATATATGGAGGACTGCAAAACCTGGGCAATTGTTTTGGCGCCGGCTCCTCACCGCTACCTTCCCGCTTGGCCGCGATTCCTCGGCGATTAGCACGGCTGGTTGCGCACGGTGCGAAATAAGTTAAACACACATACTGCACATAAAGCTAAACTCAATATATTCATTTTTTCGAAATGGGCAGTCACTCGTACATAGCTCTCCGAGTGAATGTGGGTCTCGGTGTGATCCCGATGGTCCTTGTGTACATCTATGGGTTTGCTGTGCCAGTCAATGGGTCTTTGTGTAACTGCGTCTCTGCACCAGTACCTGACTATCTTATACCGCATTTGCACTTTTTTGACTTGCGTGTTCTTCTAGGGCCGCTAATTACCTCGTTTGTGAGTTGTACAACATTCCTTATGGACCCCCCCACCTCCCGTGTAAAATAGCCGGGCAACTGGTTAAACGGCACCATCTGTGTAACAAAGTAGAATCAACTGTGAGCCTATGGGTCTTTATGTGATTGTTGGTTTTTGTACAAACCTAGGCTCTTTGTAGGAGTTTCTACAACAGGTGAATTTATAAAGCGTCTCAATGTCGACCATATCACAGTGCTGGAGATAAACAGTGGGCACTTTTATTTATAGACAGAGGTGGTCTCCCGTTTAGTTACAGGCAGAAGTAAAAAGGACATTCAGCCTGGACTTTGAACAGACCATGACCATGCCACATGAGGTATACAGTTTCTCACACTTCGCTCCACGTGCTGCGATCTTCTCCTGAAAGTGAATTCAGTTTGTGGAGGAGCAAAACATCCGACATTGTGCCTAATAACACGATGTCTGTGGGATGGCCTGATAAGTGGCGAGAGGTAGTGGATCCCCAAATTCAAAACGCAAGTTCTCACCAATTACAGGTCAGCCTCTCCGACACAGTCATCACGAGCAGAATCACTTTCGCTACCTTCGTGATGTCCAAGTGTCTTTAAATTAGAACAAAAATATTCTACTTGTATCGCGTCGTACGGAATTTGCTCACTCTTAAAGAGAGAACGATTCAGAGGTGCAAGGAACCACATGCAAGTGGGAAGGCAGAAGACAAAATTTCCCTCCAGGCTCTGCGGTCCTCGATATATATAGTGGTATCAGCTTTTTAATGAGTGTTTACATGTGGGAGGAAATGAGAAAAGAACCAGGAACACCGGAGAAAACTCACGCATGTGAGGAGGAAACACTATCCCAACAGACAGGACAGGTGGAATCCACATTGTTGATGTTACCGCCTTCCCTCTGGCAAGCCAGGGTGTGGATCTTCCTCAACATCTATGTGCACAGATCCACCGACCCTCACTGCTGCCTTCACAGGCGTTGTGCTCCGTGCGTACAGCCCTTTTATCAATCCACTGCTGGATGAGGGCTCCACACACTACGCCAGTCATTGGTGAAGCCGGGGGGTGGGGGGGCAGCCATAGAAGTGAAGTACGACAGATTATCCGCAATGCCATCCGACGCTCACAACACGATTCGCGTAAGAATGTGCAAGGAACTATCTTTCAACGGAAAATGCACAACGTTGCACATTTTTTCGTGTTGTTTTGTTTTTACTGTTCTAGATTTGAAGCTTTCGTGACTGCAAGGATCCATACTCTTTGGGTCTATTCGGTAAAGTCACGTAGGTATAAAATAAATTAAATCACGACGTTTCGGGCGCAACACAAGCGTCCCTCATCAGGTGGGACAACCACAGCAAGAAACAACCTGTCCTCTGGATAGATTGGTCCCTTCACCTGATGAAGGCCACTTGTGTTGTGGCCGAAACGTCGTGATTTTTGTTTATTTTTTACCTACGTGACTTTACCGAATAGAACCAAAGAGTTTGTTTTTACTGTGGCTGGTTTCATAGGTTTTGGCTTTCGCGGGGCCCCAGGTGTGCGTGCGGGGGGGGGGGGCATCGCCACTCGTATCTCTTGTGACAACAGTTTTGCTTGCGTCGCCCGAGGCCACGGAATCGCAGTCGCCTTGCCAGGTTTTAATGTTTGCTCTTTAACCACAGTAACAAACTCAACTTCTGGAGTCTCAGGTGTGAAAAAGTCCAAGTGATTCCCTGCTCAAATGAGCGTCGAGGTGGTGCTAATCTCCCATTGACAGCACAGATCCAGCGGCAGAAATTCTACATTCAAATGGCAGGATCGGGTCTCTCTACAGAATAACCAGAATCAGAAAATTGTATGACATCCCCACAAAATGGTACTCATTGTTTTGAAATGTGAGGTATAACTGATAATTAATCTATTCATTGGAACCGTGAACCACTGCAACAAGCAGCGAACGCGCTACCGCTAGGCCGTGCCAACCGCCAGCAGGTGTATGAGATAATAATTGAAAGGGCTATAGACATATGGAATAATTAGTAACTATGTAAAGAAATAATTGCCAGTATGGTTTTAGCACATCCGGTGGAACCAACCGAGGCTAGAGGGTCCACCAGTGAAGCAACGGCTACATTCTCCACTGATTGGGGAGGAGGATTCACACTCAGTTTACCCTTAGACTTCGGCCTATTCCGCATTATCGCATTCCGCGTCGCGATCACAGTCCATCACACGCTGCTCGCGAGCAAACGTTAAGGATGGCATGGCGTGCGAGCAGCTGGCGGTGTGTGCTCGGCACCACCGTCATCAAATATCCCTGGCCATCGGTGGCGTAGCAGTTGGCATGGACCCTGCTGCAAGGAATAACATGCCCCCCCCCGCCCCCGCTGTCCAAGTTCCCACCAATACCCCTCACCCCACCCCCCCGACCTCTTCATAGCCCCAGATCCTGGGGTCCCTTTGGCCCGTGGGCCCTGGTGCCAATGCACCACCTGCACACTCAAAAGACAAAACTGAAAATAGAACTAGAGTGCACGGGCACACACACACACCAATAAACAAATAGAGACGCCCAGAGGGCATACACAATAGAGAGGTTCCCCAGCTGCTGACACTAAACTACTGAGCAACTGCCTGGAAGCAAAGCCACACTGTAGTTTGCACTCTACGTGGTTACAGAGGGCACAAGAGTGAGTGAGACCTCTCACGCACCCCGCAGGCGTCACGCCAAGGCGATGCGTCTGTCACACAGACGCGCAATACGACACAGGCAGTCACGCGGAAAAGGCTTCTTTTTTTCTAATGCAAAAGCAGCAAGCACCCACGCGTGCACATAGACCCCCCCCTCCCCCCATATAGTCTTAACAAACTGTTGGGGCAAGTGCTGTTAGCGAGTACCTATTAAGGTCTGAAAAAGGTACACAAGGGAGAGGGTGGCCAAGACCACGCCCCGGCCGACTTTGTCTCCCTAGTGGCAATGTTTACGCATTGCACAAGGTACTCATTTGAGCTGGAGTCGAGCGAGGAGAGGGCCAGGACCGGTTTAAATAATCGTTACTGGTGGTGCCCGTGAGCGGGTATAGAACTTCGGTCAACGGGTTTGTAGTTCAGCGTGGCCGCACGCACACAGACCACCCTTAACAGAAGGTTGAGGCCAGTACTGTTTGCGAGGATCTATTAAGGCGTACGCGGCGCATGAGGGGGCCATGTGACCGGCACCACGCTCGACCACCTTGATTTATACACACTACACAAGATACTCCATTTAAGGCCGAGTCAACCTAGGGGACAGGTCCACGACCAGTTCGGATATCATTCTCTA